CCAGCAGCTTAAAAGCTAAAGACAATTAGCCATTTTATGAATGCAGATTAACAAAATGTGAACATCTTTTGTATGAATAGTATTTAAATATTTGCACAGTGGTGTACATTGATCATGCTAAATCACAAGCTAACAACAGGAACAAATGCAGTTAGGAATAACATCCACACTTCAAATTCTGGTCATCCCAGAAAGCTACACTACAGCATGATTTTCAGATGGCAAAGGTACTACTACTACTGCCGCTAATATGGATGGGGAAAGGGCTGCATCCCTAAGAGATGCTGTCTTTATGTATACAGTTTGCCTTCCCCACCAAACTGAAGAGCTCTCTTTTCACATAGTGAGCAGAAAAATGCTGGAATGTATGAGAACCATGTCGAGTTCAGTATTCACCTCCTCCTACTCCAATCTGGTAGTTTATATGGATATGGAATGCAAAGTGTGTGTGTGTGAGAGAGGGAATGGGGTATGGGTGTGGCATGTTGTGGCTGAATAAAGTGGCTGGAAGATGGGATTCCCTTGTGGAAGAAGAACCGTACATGTGTGGATTACAACGAGCAGGTATACAGAATAGGAGATAATTAGTCTCATGACCAGAAGACCAAAATTTATGAGCCAAGCTTGGCCAAACCAACTTGCAACCTGCGTTACAAATACACAACTTGATGAAGTGAAGCTGTGAGTCCAAACATGTGATATAGCAGAAGTATCTGTTGCTCAGTTGTACAGTTTCAAACTGCACATGGAAATAGGTTGTATGAATGCTCTCCTATTAAATTCCCTGTGTGTACAAAACTAGTGTGCCAGGAAAAAGAGTTCTAGCCCAGCCTCCTCCCTGAAAATCTCACAAAAATTCAAGGATTTTGGTTGGGAAAGGGCAAAGCGTAGGTAGTAGCAAAAAAAAAAAAAAAAGGAGTGCATAGAAGAGTGACAGAGCAAAGTCTAGAAAAAGTACATTTAGCTTAGGATTTGGAAATGATGTGATATAGGCACATCATATATATAGTCTTTTTGTGCAGAACTAATGGGCTGGAGACTCTGCCTGCCTGTGTACTCTAATAACACATATTCTTATGATTTAATGCTTGTAGGTTCTTCTAGAATTGCTCCATGCTGGAGGCATAGTACAGTTTGAAGAGAGCAGACTCATTCAAATGGCAGAGAAAGCTGAATTGTAAGTCTGCCCCCCCCCAACACTGTTTTCTACCATTTCACCCTGACTTGGATAGCCCAAGCTAGCCCAATCTTGTCAGATCTCAGAAGCTAAGCAGGGTCAGCCTTGCCTAGTATCTGGAAGGGCAACCTCCAAAGAATTCCAGGGTTGTGACAGAGGCAGGCAATGGCAAACCACCTCTGAAACATCTCTTGCCCAAAAAACAAGACTAGCTCACCACCTAGTGGTGCATAATGCTAACAGAGCTAGACCTTCTGGCTGCCAGACAATCTTCGGATCTCCTGGCTGTAGTACATGCAGTGCCATACGATAATAGTAATTATTATTCCTACAATTTCATTCCTTTGGCTATCTCTGATAACACCCAGCTCTATCTGATGTTGGGCGGTCAGTTGAACTCCAGCCCAGATGATCTTCACCGGATGTTGCAAGCTGTGGCTGGTTGGCTCAGACCGAGTCGGCTAAAACTAAACCCGGCAAAGACGGAGGTCCTGGGCCTAAGTCGGGTTGGCTCAGGGTTGGGGCTCCCTCTCCTGACGTTTGATGGCGTGCCTTTGGTGCCAGCGTCGGAGGTGAGGAGTTTGGGAGTGCTCCTGGACCCCTCTTTAACGATGGAGGCCCAGGTGGCAGCCACTGCCAAGTCAGCCTTTTACCATCTTCGGCTGGCTCGGCAGTTGGTTCCCTTCCTTGACCGTGATGACCTGGCTACAGTGATCCATGTGATGGTTACCTCGAGGTTAGACTACTGTAACACTCTCTACATGGGGCTGCCTTTGTCACAAATCTGGAAGCTGCAGCTAGTGCAGAATGCTGCAGCCAGGCTGTTAATGGGTCTCTCTAGGCGGGAGCACATCCGGCCTGTGCTGTAAGTGCTGCACTGGCTGCCAATAGCATACCGGATTCACTTCAAAGTGCTGGTTCTTACCTTTAAAGCCCTATATGGCCAGGGTCTGACATACCTAAGGGACCGCCTTTCCCCATATGTTCCCCCAAGGGCACTACGGTCGGGGACGCAACATCTCCTGGTGACTCCAGGCCCCAAAGATGCCAGATTTGCAGCAACCAGGGCCAGGGCCTTTCCAGTGGCGGCTCTTACCTGGTGGAATGAGCTCCCGGAGGAGATCTGGTCCCTGCAGGACCTTGCGCAGTTCCGCAGGGCCTGTAAGACGGAGCTCTTCTACCAGGCTTTTGAGTAGGAGCCGCCACCGCTAACTGGGTTGGGCAACATCAGGTGGTGAAATGGCCCTGTGACAAATGAACGATAGTGCTGCCTGGAACTGATATCATCAATCTGGGACTATCACCACCAGGATGCCATTCTGTTACTGAAGACCTTTTTGAGACACCAAGAGCACCTTGTATTGTGATAAATGATTATAAATTATTGTTTTATCTTGTTTTTAACTGTTTTAATTGTTGGCATACGTGCCCAGTCTGTGAACCGCCCTGAGCCTGCTTGCGGGGAGGGCGCAAATCTAATAATAAATAAAATCTCAAGCCAGATTTTCTTTCACCACTGCATTCTTTCATGGAAAGTTAGATAAATATAGTTTCACATGATGGTGCAGAACTTTGGGTCTCTTACACAAAGTGTGTCTTTTGTTGCGTATAACGATGGGGATGCTACCGCATACGTCTGGTATTTTTTCCTCCTACAGCATCATTCTTTTGCCTCTTCTTGCAAGATAGCTGATCTCAGTTTGGTGCTTAATGGGGATGGGCCTGTTGCTCTTATCCATTTCTTCTAAGATGGTTAAAAGCTCCAGATTGGTAGGTTTCTGTTGATGATGGAGGGAGGGAAATTGGAAAAGTGCATGTAATGGTTGTTTGGCAACTGCTTTAAGCAATGAACATTAAGTTCATGTTCAGGTTGCCTTGTTGTTTGGTGCAAGAACTTGGTCCTCTGCATGATTTATTGTATAACAGTCTAACCATAATGCAGCAAGGGTCTGGTGGCTATAGGGAAGCCTGCATCCAAATAAGTAATGTGTTAAACATGTATTTTGAGTAAAGATTATTTCAGCTGTGGTTAAACTTGCAAGGTCATATTGTATTTTAAAATCCAATCTAAGGTGTCTTCTGCACAGAACAGAGAAGAGTAGATTGCAAAAGGGAGCCCAGATCATTAGCACCACCAACAAGAATGTTCCAGGCCTCCTTCAAAACAGCAATATAGCGATCTCACCCTCTTCCCACCCTCACACAGAAGATTTTATCTTGGTTTCTTCTTTCTTGCTGAGCAGCCCCTATATCTTATTTTCTCATGTGTTGGTCTATGGCTGTCCCACCCTGTCATGTTATTATAAATTTTGATGCTAGCCCAGCCCAGGGACTTAAGGAAAAAGACAAAATCATCTGCTTATATTCTAATTCTGTAATGGCACACAGGAGGCTTTTGAAAGTTCAAAATAAACTAAATATTTTATTTAACTTGGAGGGGGAAAGGTCAGGTGGAATCAGGGGTAGGATGTATGAGGTGAACTGATAATAAAACTGAGGTAACTTTGTATTTGTAATCACACTAAATCCAAATAATATGTTGCCAACAAGAAAGTGTTTTTGTTTTTCAACAAGGTCTTTGAAACTTTGAGGAGAGAAGCTTTCTTTTCGGTGTCTGCTTAAACACTCAAACATAGGTTCCTGAGTTTCACTGACTTCTAAGGTTTAGAAGGCAGGAACATATAACCAAGTTCCCCAAATCCTTCTCTATGCACTGACCAGAGATCATTCATAGTTTTAGAGCTATTTCCCTTTCCACTGGGCAAAGATTACTTCTCTTGACCAGAAGTTCTGTCCCTTTTTGGTTTGAATGGGGATCCACTGTGATCCACTCACTCATTCAGCCTCTTTCCCAGTCCGCAGCAGCCCCGTAACTAGACAGTTTTTTTGGGGGGGGGCACCTGGCGTCAAAAATAATAAAATAGAATAAAAATATGGTAGAGCCTGGCTGTGCTGGGTAGCTACAGCCTTGGTACAGGCTTAACAAATAATAATAATGCTATAGGCAAGGGACAGGGCAGCAGATGCCAGGGAGTGGGAAGAGGAAGCTTTCACATTGGAAGAAGAAGAATGGGAAGGGAGATGCAGCTGGGCAAAGCCAATGCGGGGAGGATCTTGGAAGGGAATAAGACTGGAAGGAGGGGAGCTATAGATGCAATGGAAAGCGGGGTGGGGGGGAAGGATGGAATCCACAGAAACAGGGAAGTAAAGGAAAAGAGAAGGTGGCAGTGGCCCACCTGTCTGTGCACAGGCACTCTGAGGAGAAGGGGGGGGAGAAAGAGGGAGGTGGTGCAGGGCCATTCACATGCTGAGGGCACATGAGGCCCAGGCACTCAAGCTGCCCGCTCCCCCCTCCTCTCTCATTCCAGCCAGCCCTGCTGTGCACTTTGTTCGTGTCCCATGATGCAACGCAGTGATGGCAGCAGCGACTACTATGAAGGGGGGACTTTGGAATGAGAATGAAGGGTTGGGGCCACACTCTGGGTGGGTGGGATGAACAGGCATTTGGCATGCATGCTGCTTTTGTTAAGGCTCGTGGGGATGCTGATCCTGAGGTGAATGCTGACTTCCAAAAGTCTTCACAGGTTTATCTCCCCAGTGCGAGACCTTCTCCTTTTGGGGGGGTACGCAAGGTGAGCCTCAACAAGCCCAGGCTCCCAGGAGGGATGAGGAGGGGGGAGTGAGGGGGCAGGGCGTCACCCCGTGGGGCCCCAGTCAGCTACGGCCCTGGTCCACAGTCAGTGCTAAACTGTCTCTTCTTCTACTGTCAGTTCCCAACTGTCATTTTTTAACTGATGCTCTCCACAGAATTCCATTTGAACAGCCTGTCACTCAAAGGTTTTCAGACTCTGTTAGGCATTAACCCTTGAGTCCTTGACAGTCCATCACACGGCTCTTCTCGGTAGTTCATTTGGGTCATCCAGAGTACCTGTAAGACATTTTTGGTGGCAGCTGTTAAATAGTCCTTTTGTGCTTAAGATATTGTACAGGTTTGGATTGCCCCTGCGAACATATCACATCTTTATCCTGCTCTTCCTACAAAGAACTCAGACAGGGCATTTTCTATGTAAAATGTAAATACAGTGTTGATAATGATAGACTAGCTTCATTGGGCAAAAGAGGATACAAGAGAATCATTGCTTGAAAATATCAAGATTAATTAAATTTTGCTTAACTGGGAAGGGTTGCAAAGCAGAACAGAAATCCTTTGATCAAGCCATCTGAGTCCAATATAGTTCATGGTTCCACTTATTTCCTGGAGCAATTCCAGCATGCCCATGTGTCTCCTAGGCAGACATCAGATAAAGGGAGCTCACACACCTGGTCCCAGCTATTAAAAACACACACACATACAAAACTAACCTCTCCCCTTGATAATCAGATCTGTGTTCCAAGTACCCCATTGCCCTAAGCTACTGAGAGACTGGTGAATCATTATTAACATCAGGCAGTAGAGCTGAATAACTGCAGTTCCTCCAGGTCACAATGACCGTTAATGTTTTAATTGGGAATTTCAATGGGAAGGAGAAGAACAGATAAAATATACAACTTGCTCCCTAGGAAACCTGATTAGTGAAAAGGCGCAGCCGGCAGGTCACTATTATGATGGGCAAGACCAGACTTTAAACAATGAGACACACACATCAGTTAGGATTGACTGATTGGTGATCTTTATTGCTTCCAAATGGTATTTTGAGAAACAGCAGGTAGACATGTCACACAGGACAAAAGTAGGATCAGGCTTATCACAGCGAGCTAGAATATTAGCTGGAAATGTAAGGTGAGTATTTAGCCTTAAAATATTAAGATGGAAAAATAGACAATGCTGGTAACAAAGCTGACACCCTTTGGACTGTGGGATACTTGAAAACCTGACAGCTCTCTGTACTGTATTTGTCATCTATAAAAAGTGGACACCTTAAAATGAACAAATATATCTGTGTTTTGTTTCAGCTACCAAATTTGTGAATTTATGTATGAACGTGAACACTGCTATGACAAAATCATTGATTGTTATTTGCGTGATCCATTGAGAAAGGTAAGGGTAAGATAATGCTATCGAAATTGTGGATATGGGCACATCTTGGTGTGTATGTGGGGCGATGATATTCAGAGAGACTGTAGGGACAGCATATAAAATGTTTTGTGATATGCTCACCATACAATTTTTCTTTATTATGGAACTTTAACATACAATGAATAAAATGGCAGCTGATCCTAGTCAGAATATGTTTTTGTGATACGCTTACCATACAATTTTTCTTTATTATGGAACTTTAACATACAATGAATAATATGACAGCAGATCCTAGTCCTAATATGGCAGTTGAAACTAGTCAGAAGGCCCATTGTGGGACTGCAGACAATGGGCACTAGCTTGGCCGTCCGGGTGCGGGCCACCGTCTGCATCCCCGCCCCCCGGTGAAGCTGCCTGGCCCGGCCCCGCGTGGTTGAGGCCTTGACGGGCCAAGCCGCCTGGGCTCGCCCCTCTCCTCGCAATGGGCGCCAGCTCAGCCAGCCAGCCACAGGCCACCGTCTACTTCCCGGCCTCCCCCTGCGCGGTCAAGGCCCCGGTGGGCCAAGGCGCCTGGCCTCGCCCTTGCCCCCGCCACCACCGGCCGATCGAGGCCCCACCAGGCCCAGCAGCCCAGGCTCATCCCTCTCCCCGCAATGGGTGCCAGCTTGGCCGGCCGGCTGTGGGTGCCCATCTCCTTCCCTGACTCCCCACCTTGGTGAAGCTGGTCAGCCCCGTCCCTCCCCCCAGTGCGGTTGAGGCCCAGGCGGGCCAAGCCGTGTGGCCTCGTCCGTCCCCGCCACCCCTGCAGGCCAGGGCCTGCAACCTCATCCCCGTGGTTACCGGAGGGGCAACGGGACAGGCTGGGCCTGGCTCCCCGCCCGGCCTCAGACCTGGTGGCACGGCGCTGGCTCCCCTCATCCCCAGACTGCACGGGGGAGGTGCGAGGGAACAGGCCACTGCCACCTCCCTGCTTGGCCACCTCCAGTGCCTTTCCAGGCGGCCAGGCAAAGCCAGTGCATGTCGGCCTGACCCTCCTCTTGGCCGGCAGCAGCTCCTGGCTGCTGCGGCTTGGCGGCACCGCTGCCATGGCCCCGTCTGGGTCCTGCAGGCCGAACAAGGGCCCCTGGCCACTGGAGCACCCGGCAGGTCCGGCAGCTCGAAGGAAAGTGAGGGCAAATGGCTGGTCGGCGGCTCTGTGGCCGGGACCACGGCCACAGAGGCAGCGACACAGCCAATGGAGAGAAACGCCATGTGAGTGACACACCAGGGCGCCAACCAATTCCAGAGCGTGTGGCATCTTCTAGAGAAGTGCCACCACCAAATCGCTTTTATAATATAGGGAGATTATAGTGCCAAATTAGTTTGCAACATTTTTCATGCCTACCAATTTGTTTTCTTACAGGAAGAAGTTTTTGGCTATGTCCATAATATACTCTCCATTCCTGGGTATAGTACAGAAGAGAAACAGTCTGTGTGGCAAAAAGCTATGAAACACATTGAGGTATGACTGGAATAGTTTGTTTATCCATGTTAATGTAAAACGAATTTATCTGTAGCTGGCCTGAACAAGATACTGTTTTGAATAATCCAGTTTACAAAGATACACTTGTGTAATGAATTTATATGTATTGCCAAATAAAATTCTTTTAAAAGTCCTATTAACTGTAGAGCAGAAGCAGCACTCACCCTTTTAAATTCAGAGGTGTAGCCATGTTAGTCTGTTGGGGCAAAATAAAATAAAAGTCCAAAGGCACCTTTAAGACTTGCAAAATTTATTCTGACATAAATTTTGTAAACTGAGACTCACTTTGTCAGATGCATTATTTACTCAAGCCAATAAAGGACCCCCTTTGTTCTCTAATCCAGGAGAACTGGGTTTGATTCCCCACTCCTCCACATGCAGGTGCTGGTGTGACCCTGTTCTCTCAAGGGCAGTTCTTGAGAGAGCTCTCTCAGCTCCACCTATGTCACAGGGTGTCTGTTGTGCGGAGGAGAAGGGAAAGGGATAAGCCGCTCTGAGACTCCTTCAGGTAGTGAAGGGCGGGGTACAAATCCAATCTCCTCCTCCTCTTCTTCTGAACTCTCTCCCTAGGGAGAGTCATCTGTCTCCCTCTATTGGTGTTTTCCGCCAGCAGGTAAAGACTTTTTTGTTTCATTTGGCATACCCCCAGTAACAGTTATTGGCCCTCCTCCCTGATTCTGGTATTGTTTGTTTATGTGACTTTATTGAATAAATGTAGAGTCCAGACAAACAGCAAATTAATATCAGCCCGTTTATAAGCTTGAACTTTACCTCCCATTCCATTGTATCTGAAGAAGTGTGCATGCGCACAAAAGCTTATACCTTGAATAAGACTCTGTTGGTCTTAAAGGTGCCACTGGACTCTAACTTTGTTCTACTGCTTCAGACCAACATGGCTGACTACCTGATTCTATTGAATTATTTTATAATTTTAAATGTTGTTTTTAGTTGTTCTAGTGTTTTATGTATGCTACCTTGGGGACTCTGATTGGGTGGAAAGGCAGCATATAAATAAGTGACTACTGAAATACTGGCATAGCTGCTGAGGCTTGGGACTGCTCGCTCCAGGCTGCCTGCGGCTTTCTTAAGTTCTAGCCTGCCAAGAAATCTCCTGTAAGATAAATAGCCAGTCCACGCCTGCTAAGGAGACAAATCCATAAATACTCAGACACAAATATCTGTTTGCAGGCCCACTATTGCACCTCTGTGCAGAGGGGCAATGTGTCTCTTGGACTGCCCAGATTTCCAGTGTGTGTCCCTTCCTTAGAGGACATACTGAAGTAGAGAACACACTGAAGTAGACGCCCAATATGACCAAGAAATAAATGTGAAAAGTATATGAGGAGTAACACAGTTGTACTTCAGGTTGCTTTACAGCTACAGGGAAAAAGTCTCATCTGAAGAGCACAGAGAAGAGAAAAACCTCATAAACTATCACAGTGCAGTTCATGGGAAGTCCTGCTAAGGACAGCCAGAGGAGAGCATTAACAATAAAAAGGGGAAGGGAGTATGACAGAGGAGAGAGCAAAGTATGCAATCGCTTTTAGCCTGTGGTTCCTGTAAGCTGAAAGCTGCATTGAGTGAATTTGAATGGGACTTCTAATAGGCTAATACTTGTATATGTAGCAACTATCCTTATTTCAAGAACTGGGTACAGAAGAGAGAAATATAACTAATTTGTAGCAATTTATGACAAGTTAACCGATGTTAGGTGAACAAAATAAGCCTTAGCAGCCAAGACAGGAAAGTAACACAACTTTGTTCTACACATCAATTAAACCAAAAAATGTGGATCTGACTTTGCTCAGCTCTGTGGTATTCTAGTCTGAACAGATTTGTAAGGAAGTAAATTCAGTAGTTTATAGCTAAATTTAGTTCCTGTATGTATGGTCAAGATAGTAATGCAAGCCAATTTCCACTCAAATACTTAAGCTGAAATAGTTTACAAACAAAACTGCCTTCCTGCTACAATCAAATTATTTGGAATTCGGGGAGGGGGGAGTTAAAGCCATTATTGTACTTGCTTTGAACTCTGAAAGTTCACCATTGCAGTGATTACTTCTTCGTCATTCAGCACAAAATTAAACTTATTGAACAGAAGTTAGACAATTATGAGAGCTCAGAATGAAAAATTTGCTGTTCTGGAACATCCTGTATACATTATTCCTATCAGAAACTTCTTTGATGTGTCTAAGATGTCTTAGTGAAAATATATGGACAATATTTTTACTTGTTTGCCTAGGAGCTGCTATCAGTGAGTCCCTCTAAAGCAGCAGATATGATTTCTGTCCACTTCAGTGACCAAATTGAACAAATCATTCAGACCTTGCAGGTAAAGTCTTCAGGCTGATGTGTCTTCTCTTTTGAACAGAAAGGTCAGAGCATGATAGGCTGCAGTAATGGGATTGGGCAGTTGCCTAAAAGTTAAAAACTGTCAAACCAGGTTTGGGAAGTGGGCTAAGAGATGGTGTCCTGCTGATAAGCACAAATTACACATGAACAATAACAGAATGCCCCATCTATGTGTTTGTACAGTGGCTTCTGTGTTTGTGGCTCTTTATCCAACGAGTACATGTCTAGAGGCATGGGAGCTCTTCTACAGCCTGATCCTATTCAGAAGTGAGTCCATTTTAACCCAAGTAGATGTATGTTAGGAGTATGTCATTAACTAGATATTAGCTAGCTAGGGAGAAAACTTCATGTTCTGCAGGAAGGTCTGTTGTGCCAAACTGTAATCACTAAATACAAGGAGTCAGCTACTTGTTTGTTCATGTGCTGGCCATATTTGCATATAAGATAGGGTGGGAGAATCACAAGGGGGTTATGATTATAAAGGGAGATGATCCAACCCATGTTGCCCTCCATCACTTCAGGCAATTATCTCCCCAGCCTGGCTCACTTCACATATTGGAGCTGGGGTGGAAGGACAGTACATGCAGTGGTACAGCAAAGAGAGAGAAAATACATTTCATTTTGTGCTCTAATCTTTACAACAAAAGATAACTCCATACCCTTCTTATATGTGAGCATGGCAGGCATATGAGTGACATACACGGCTGTACCTGTTTGAACCTAAAGAATATATTAATCATTATGAAGTTACTTTCTGGACCAAACATCAATATAGAACTTCTGTAATCTATAATTAGGAAATTATTTTTATTAAGTAGCCTACTAAATTTCTATTACTGCTTTGTGTATGCCACAAACATACATTCAGGCAAGGCAAGGTAGCTAACAATGTTCTTCCTAACATTTATCACATTCACTAATGGAGCGCTTGTCATTCAGCTACTGAATCATTTTAGAAACAATTGGAACCTATTTTTGGTTGAAGCAATTGCTGAATTGGTTCACTATTGTATACAGTTTTGCTCTTGGCCAGGTTTGTAATTGACATCTTTTAAAGCTTTTAAATAGCTTTTTAAAAACTGTAGGAAATGGTTCCCCCGTTTCCTAGTTTTTAAAAAGCTATTTAAAAGCTTTAAAATCTCAGTCATAGGCTTTGGCAGTTTCATAAAGCTTGAAATCTGACTTCCCTTCACTTCTGATCAAATCAAACATGCTCAAAATTTATGCATGATCTTTAATAGAAAGGATCACAAGAATTCATTATTTGGCTGCCATTCTTTGGCCATTAATATCCCAAACCTGCCAGGGTCCATCTATTCAACCAGGCTAACAATCCACCTCTTCATGTTCTATAGTTCTGAAACCTCTTTCACCTCTTCATGTTCTAGAGTTCTGCAAATCACCTGGTGAGTCAGGAGGGTGATGCCATGACCTAAACTGGGTTGTATCAGTAGCACCACTTTTTTTTTTTGGTTTGGATATTTTATCTAAGAAGAAAAATGGGAGCAGGAGTGGGGAAAGAAAGAAGAAAAGTGATAGAGTAAAAACAGCAACAACATTGTTGAACCCACATTGTTGGATAATTGTGGGTTCTAGATCTGAAAAGGTAAAGAAAATGCAGGACTTGATTGTCATTACCAGTAAATCGCCATTTTCACAGTAAATGAGCAGTGGAACAAGTTTAACAAAGGATATTGTAAAATTCATTATAACAATACTTAAACCTGTTTTAGCAGCAGGACATTAAAGGGCTGCAGAGAATCACCACTGCACGGCCCTGAAACGCAACTGCAGCATCCCCCCCCCCCCCCCCCCACCCTCAAAGGCAAGAGATGTCAGATGAGTATGGAAGATAGCTAATGGGACTTGATTTTTTTTAAAAAAGAGAGCATGATAGCCAAGTGCTCCATACTCCTTTCATAAACATAATTTCAAAGGGTGGTTGTAAGGAGGGATTTAGAGAAGAACAAGATGGAATGTTACAGCAACTGATATAATTGTCAACACATGGAAATCTAAAAGAGATACCCAGGAGAAATTCAACTAACAAAAAGTATCACAAAGATATTAAGGAGTGTAATTTTCATCCCTGGTAGTTTTGAATCCAGAACATGAGTGAATCTCTCTCAGGTACCGGAAATTATCTTTTCTCTCTGGAAGATGCCATTCTTCTAGGTCACTTTCATTTACATACATAGCACCTTAAGTTCCTCGGTGCTGTGTCTGTGCAAGGGTGAATTTAAAAACACAGAATTTAAAATCATCTGTCTGTCAAATGCAGTGCTTCATCTACTTTTTTCCTTGCCTGTCAGGATCAACATTTGCTTTTTCAGTTCTTGAAGAACCTACTTGACCCAAGGTATGTATACAGGATAACTATCAGGTCTTATTTCCTGAAACTTAAATTTTCATTAGCATTTTGACATGGATGTTAATTAACAGGAAAGTCCTTTGGCTTCTGGAGGGTAATGAGATGCTGGAAAGCTGCTGTTAGAGAAGAGCAGTCCTTGTGAGAAGGGGTCTTTCCATTTCCTGTCCTGGGTGTAATATCTCCTCTGGCTTCCAAGGAATGTTCCCTGGAAAGTATTCTCTAGGATTATTGTTTGTCCACTCAACACTCTTCTCAAAAATACCAAGCTTGTGTAAAGAACGCAGAAGAGAAGCTAAAAGGCTGAAGGAACTGTTGTGTGATGCTGACAAGTTTATATTAAACTCTTAAGATCATACTTGTATGGAATAAGAAGTTCACATGAATGTGTTTGAAGTTACAGAGTCTGGCTGTGTATATGGAGCTGCTGCTGTCTGTGGTGCTGACTCTGCTTTCTTTCTCTCCACATACACTCTTAATAAAATAAATCACAACTACTGCATCTCTGTGATCCTTCCAGTTTTATACAAGAATCTAGTGATGCTGTTTTGATGGCTTTGTGATCCTAGGCTGTGACAATTTTTTTGATTGTCTCAGCTGGGGTGCTGGAAGCATGAGGCCTTTCCTTCTTGTGAAGGAAGCAGGTTTGTGACATGAAACGGGAAGTCATCTGGCAGATCAGAATTGTCAGAATTTGATAGAGACCTTCTTCTCTACAGGATGCTGTGTTCTAGGGAGCAGCACTCCATTTCAGAGAAATATGTTTTAGCTGATTTGTCTTTTAAGAAGCCCTTTATTTTAGTTTTGTGCTTGTGCTGGCCTTTTTTTTTTGCGCATTTGGAGAACGGCATGGTACCCTGTTTCCCCGAAAATAAGACCTACCCAAAAAATAAGCCCTAGCAGGATTTCTATGCATTTGTGGTATAAGCCCTAGTGTGTCTTCTTGAGAAAAAATAAATATAAGACAGTGTCTTATTTTCGGGGAAACACAGTATTAGAAAACGAACCTTAATTTTTCTGGCTCATTCTTTTGATAAGAGTGATTAGGCCTCTCTCCCTATGTAATACCTTACATCCATCAGTACCATGGTATCTGGTCGCTTAGCTAAGTAACGTTTAAAAGATCATCTCTTCATGAGTCTGTTACTTTTGCTGGGATCACAGCATAAAAATGGCTTGAGACCTCTGGCATCTTTGATTTTTTTTGTGTGTGGGGGAGGAAATGCCTTGAAAATATCTTAATTGTTAGACATCGGGCATTGATATTGTTCACGCTGCAGTCTGTAACTTACAAAATTATTCTTTATACTACAAACATCAGTTTGTATCCCCGTTAGCCTTTTTAGATTTCTCCACAAACTCATATGGGTTAATGCTCCCGGTGGCAGGTGACAGATTTCTGGAGAAGTGCTGGGCAGGTTTGGGAAAGCGTGAGAAGTCTGTTGGGAAAGGGTCATTTAAAAAAAAATAATATATGCACAAGCAAATTATTCTTGGAAGAGTAGAGAGTGTCTGTAAGGTGCACTTGAAAAACTGAAGATGATGGGGAAAGATTAATGGCATCACACTCATGGGCCACAGCAGAAAGAAACAGCAGCCTCGGCAGTAGTTAACCTCCAGTGCCTTTTCAGATCATTTTTCTTCTAGAGGAGGTTTGAAGACCATTCACAGATGTGTCTCTGCTTATTTAATGAAAATATCAGCTTAAAATGCTGTAGAAGAATGCCAGAGCAAAAGTATTTGTTAAAATAATGACAGATATAAAACTTGTATCAACCACACCGCCAGCAAAGATCCAGGCATGTGTCTGGTGTTGACACGCAGAAACCATTCGCAGCATGCTCCATATAATTTGCCTCCATTGAAGTCATATAATGTGCAACATCAGCATTCTGGTTGTTGTCAGGGAGAAATTCTAAGCCAGCACTATTATTGCTGAGCGGGGGTTGATGCTGGGCACGAAATCTGTGTGCCAGGTGCTCGAATGCCACGATAGCTCTGGAAATCCTCACACAGGAGCTGTTTCCAGAAGCCTCTGCATAATGCAAGTAATGTGTGCTCCAGCTCTTAGTCTGATGTAATACTTTCTTTGTGACAGGAATTGTTAGTTCAGAGAAGATTACATTTGAAAAATAGTGAAGGTTGTTACATGAGCTGTAGTAATGTGTTTTAGTGGTACAATTGCTCATTGGTTCTGCTTATTTCCCAAGGCAATTCTTTAGCTATATTTCCCCACCCCCTCCTCCCCCTCTGGCCTTGTACCTACTTTAGAATAAATCTCTGGCTAAATTAAATGTGCCAGCCTAATCCCCTCTGTAATTTAATTCCCTTTGGTGTAGTTACACCATAGAAAGAAATCTAGCCCAATGTACAGTCACAGAATCAACAGAACCTGAAGACAATAGAATCCTGTCTTTTAATACAGGACCTCTGTTTTAATAAAATCTCTCTCTGAAGTGGGAGACAAGCATGCATAGTAATATAAAGGGTATTACCTGGTCTTAAGGTGCATTAGATATATTAACCAAGATGCTAACCTGCCATAACAAACCTTTTCCCCCCATTTGTACCTCTGCAAATCATGTATCATGCACTTGCTCAGGGAATTTGCCTGTCATAATGTAATAAATTGTACCCCTGCTTCATGTGATTTTGGACAGTTTGTAGTTGAAGAGCCCTAGTGAAATGCCCAAAACAGTGGTAATGTTTTTTTAAAGTCATTCACTGATTCTTTTTCTTAGCATCTGTCTGTTTTTAATTTCTCTTATCCTTGACTCAGCCATTTGGACTTACTAGCCAAAATCCCACGACTTTCCAGGCTTCACAGTAGGCAATACAAGTCAGTAATATTATATTCTGTGAATACTAATAATATGACTTGTCTTTCTGAAGGTTTGTTTGTTACTTACCCTGCATACTGTTTTTGCCTGACAAATAGCAGATCTCAAGTCTGTTGTGCCATTTGTTGTTTTTAGGGAAGGTGTCAATCAAGACTTGCTTCAGCTCTCTCCCTCTGTTACTGAACAGTTTATTGAATTGCTGTGTCAGTATGAGCCTGACCAGGTTTTAGAGACTTTACAGTTCCTGGAGGTCTACAGGCTGGAAGAGACAATTCAGGTAAGGCAGAACTGCTTGGATGTGAGACAGAATTGATAGAAAAATAATTTTGGTCAGGATTCTTTCTACTGAAGCCAATCTGATTTAGCTGAGCTCTTATGTCTGTAACTGTGCTTGAACCTGGAATGAAACTAGAATTCTCCGTATTACGATGCTTGGGAAAGACATTGGGAGCTCTTGGGGTCAAAAAACAAACACAAAGGTTCATGTAACTTCCCCTGTGGGTTTGTTTTTAAATAAAAAGCAGCCACTGGAGGTAGGAATCTGGAGAAGAGCACAGGTGCATAGAGAAATGTGCCAAACCTCTTTCTTCCAGTCCTTCCTCACAAAGATTTTCCCCTTTGGAGCAAGTCACAAAGAACTCCATTTAACATGTCTGCTGCATGGGTTTCTTCCTGCTGCTGGATATCTTCCTGATATCTTCATTGTTTTACTGTTACAGATTTGTTTATCAGGTTTCTCCATGGCTTAGGGTTTTTAAACACTGTTTTCAATCAACAGTGGCAAAGATTGGGTGTACCTTTTGCAGTACATTGTAGTACATGAGGTTATATTCCAAAATATGCTCTGAAATGCTCTAAAACTCATTTTCTGCATACAGTAGATTTAATTAAAACAATTCTGTGGCATTTGATTCAGGTTGTCCAGAAATATCAGCTGCACGAAGCTTCTTCCTATCTGCTTGAGAAGAAAGGAGATATTCATGGTGCCTTCTTAGTTATGCTTGAGGTATTATAGACTGGGTGGTTTACTTTGAAATACTGTGGTCACTTTCTGCTCATGCATTCTGTAACTGAATACTTTTATGTTGAAGGCTGTAAAAAAAAGGTTGCTCTGATTATGGATAAACTTAGCATATGCCCAAATTCCATAAGTCAGTTTGCTGTACTGTTTTTATGCAGAATGGCAAATCATTTTTTATTATGAAAGAGGGACAATTTTGTCTGTGGGATTAGTTCTAAAAATTGGAATCCAAAGCCACTGTTTTCTGCATGAGCCTAGTAAATTACATTGCATGTGTTTTGATTAGCTATGTACAGTTGGATTTGCTTTAACATTTTAACCAAGATATTATGTTGTGCCTATGGTAGTGAGGAAAGGACAGTGGTTGTATGTCAGAAAATGGGTTGTATTTGTGTACTTGGAATGGGGCCACACTAATTTGTATGGGGCACCACATTAGAAAGAAAACAAGAAGAAACACCCTCATGAAATACTAAACAAACTACACAAGTACAAGAAGGTATATAAAAAATAGGGATATATTATAAGGTAAAAATGAAAACAACACCTGAACCCACAATATGAAAAGTGTGACAAGCAGACAAGTGTAAACAATATTCCATATACCATTAAGAAGTGTGTTGTCACAGCTCAGGTGGGGTGTCACCTGACGCTGCCACCACTCTGGATTTAGGTTCCCTTGAGAAGGCCCAGAGCACCCTCCCAAGACCTTCAGACCTCCCTTTTGGCTGAATAATAGGCGTGAGGACCAGGCAGAGTGAACAGTGAAAATAGTTTATTTTATAAGAGGTCAAACAAACAAAGTGCAGAATAATAACAGTAAGTGGGTGAAAATAAAATAAATCAAATGCCCTGTGCCTAAATATATACTGTCCCTAGCTCACTATTCCAAGTGACACTAGACTACTCACCCTTCCCTCAGGATGAGGGTCTCTTCCCTGCAGCAGCCTTCCTTCTGGCTCTGCCTTCTGTGAACAAGAACAGCTTTTCCTGCTGCTCCAGATCTTTTATTCCAAGCCCTCCTCTTTTCCTATTGGTCAATTTTGGCTCCAAAACATCTCAGGGGCTTCTGGGAGTTGTAGGCCCAGCCTCACCTACTGCTAGTCAGGCTCCCTGGGCCTAGTAGGCCTCTGGTGGCAGAGCCCAGATCATGACATGTGTACATACACAGACGTCTAAATGGCATAATTGTAGAAATACAAGCAATAACAACACACCTGATAAACTAAGGATTGCCAGCCACACTCTGGAAAAAGATTTTTATCTGATCATTTCTGCATATTCAATTTTAAAACAGCTACAAATTCAAATTAAGGAGCAAAAAAAGGGGATTTCACCCTTGCTGTATGAAATACCAAAATAATACTATCTCATTCTCTGCCTTCAACATGTCATTGTGATGCTGCTAAGGACTGATATTAAGGTAGTGATTCAATAATGGAATGAAATTTTGGGAAAAACAAGTGAATCCCAAAGTTCAGCTGTTACTTCACTCACCTGTTCTAAAGGAAATTAAATGGGACTAGCACTTAGTTAGTAGGTGATAATGATAAAATGACCCAAAATGGTTAGCTGAAGGCAGAGAAGGAGTTGCCTCTTTCACCTATAGTACATTTCTCCTGTAATTGGCTCCACAGAAATAGCAAAGCTCTGCAAAAAACAGAAATAACTGGCGGTAAATCTTTCTTTTTTTTTAAAGGCCCTATGACTTTAGCTTACAGGAGTGTATTTTTTTTCTAGTGGCTACAGAGTAAGCTGTTGACACTTACAAATGACAATGAAAGTAAGTTTGAAAACTGAGCTTTCTTCATAATTTTCATTGAGATTTTTAAGAGACAAAGTCAGAACTGAAATAGTAATAGTGGGTTTTGTCATGTAGCAGTGGAGTGTGTGTGTGTTCCTCCTCCTCTCCACATTCATGCAGTGCCTGACACTAGGGTTGCCATCCCCCAGGTCCCAGTGGGGGTTCCCCCAGTTTTGGGGGCTCCAATCCGTCACTGGCCAGCGGGGGGAAGCCCCACCCAAGCCCCACCCCCAAGCCTGACTGCTGACAGCCACCCCCTCCCTCCCCTCCTGCAACATTTAAATGACCCTTCAGCTGATCGGCAGGGAACATGTGGCCCACAGGTCAGTTGGAGGGCCCTTTAAATCTTGAGGGAGGGAGAGGGGTGCACACCACCTCCAGCTTCTTCCCAAAAGCATTGAAAGGATCCCTTTAAATGCTTTTGAGAAGAATTGGGGGGCCCATGCATGCCCCCCACCTTCTGCAAAGCATTTAAAGAGATCCTTTAAATGCTTTTGAGATGAAGCAGGGGCACGCACACACCTCTCCATTCCTGCAATCCAAGCTGCAAATTCGTTGCTTGGAGTGCAAGTGCCCCCCCCCGTTTCTTCCCCAAACCATTTAAAGGAATCCTTTAAATGCTTTGGGGGAGAAGCGGGGGGGTCCCCTGCAATCCAAGCTGCGAATTCACATCTTGGAGCACAGGCTCCAGTCCTCAGTGTGATGGCATTGCTTCTGTGTGATGTCATGATGTTGGGGCTGTCCCTACCCCCCTGGAACACCCCCTAAAGTCCCCCACCAGGGACTTGGAGGGACCTGGCCAGTTTGGTGTAGTGGTTAAGAGTGCCGACTCTAATCTGGAAGAACCAGGTTTGATTCTCCACTCCTCCACATGCAGCTGGGTCAATCATAAGTTCTTTCAGAGGTGTTCACTCAAGTTCTTGAGAGCTTTCTCAGCCCCACCTATCTCACAGGGTGTCTGTTGTGGGGAGGGGAAGGGAAAGTGCTCTGAGACTCCTTCAGGTAGTGAAGGGCGGGGTATAAATCCAGTCTCCTCCTCCTCCTTCTTCCTGACACCCTTCTATAAGGAGACCTAATTCACATGATTCCTGTCCCCCCCAAAAAAAGACTGGATTTATTAATTTTATGTGCATGTAGTCCTCACTATGTGGTACCCACCTCATTCATTGTTATATGAATGGGGTGGGGTCTTATATCATGTGCAAAAGATCGCTGTTCCATAAGTGCAGGGCTTTTTTTGTAGAAAAAGCCCAGCAGGAACTCATTAGCATAATAGGCCACACCCAACAGCAGAAACTCATTAGCATATTAGGACACACACCATGAAAGGAAGGCAGTTTAAACTGCCTTCCCTTGGCTTGCCCGGGTGCCCTGTGGCTGCGGGGAGCCCAGGCAAGCCGGCCCTTGGACAGGCCGGGGAAGGCATGGGGAGGCATCTTAAATTAACACACACCATGTGTTAATTTAAACCTTCCAGGGGGGCCCCCAGCCTGCCCGCCTCGGCGTCGCTGGGGCTGTGTGTCGCTCTCCAGGCCTTCCCTCTGTAGCCATGCACACAGAGGTTTTGGCTGTAGTGGGCATGGCCAGCTCTGAAGCCAGCCGGAACTCCATTCCTGTGCGTTCCTGCCCAAAAATAGCCCTGCATAAGTGTATGAATCAGCCTAGTAAGTATCAAATACCATTATACTGATATAGGAATAAAGCACAGGGTTCCTAGAGCAGTTTTCCTGAGTAATTTGTTTAGTGTAGAGAAGAGACTGTTTGCAGTCTGCAGTGGAATTATCAGGGTATTTAAAAAAAAATAATAAACTTGTCCCTTCAAATCTGTCTTTAAGAGAAATTCTTCATCAAAGTGTATGAGAAAACTACAATTGTTAGAAAAGCTAAATGTAGTATGTTGATATTTTAGATTTTATATTTAGGCAATCTGTAATCACTGTTATTGTAAAAGGAATTTTACAGGCTTTTCTTTACGCTGAAAAATCTGAAGAGATTATATGAGCCAGTTGGGTATTTTTGTCCATATTTATCTGGAAAGAAGCATTTTTAAGGCAGAATCAGCCCATAGTATATCCTGTATTTAATGAAGAGGTAATTGTGTTCGGTGGCATCTGAAAATATCATTAGCTCATGCAGTTATGCCCTATAGATTTTCTTTCATATTTTTCGTACTCATCTGACCTCTGAGTTTCATATTCCTTCATGCCTAGCCACAACAGCATAGCAGAATAGCAGTTAATTGGCATCAAGCAATAACAACATGAATGATGCAGCTCATGTGGGGAAAAGATGTGCAGAATTCTCACACAATCTTGGGCTACCTTTCCCCAGAAGACACTTCCTCTTTCCCCCCCTTAAAATATCAAACTTGACCATGCCCTTAAGTATTAATTCTGTGAAGTTGTAAAATACTAATTTTATAAAGCGTACCTACTATGGCATCCTCTTTGACTTAAATTGCCAGATAATAATTACTGTTTGTTCCTTAAACCTAGAATCAACAGAATGTCCTTCCTTAAAGAATATTGAACTTACCTTAGTGAAAACAATTGCGCTTTGCCAGAGGAATTCGCACAATTTAAATCAACAGCAGCGAGAGGTAAAGTCTGCTGTGCGCTGCAGTCTAGAAGCAAAGTGCTCTGTTTTTGTTCTCTGTGACTTTTGTTGTGTCAGGGTCAAACTAGACTTTAGGACAAATGTGTGATTGCTGGTGTAAAGTTACACATCCAGTTCTCTGTTATCTTTTGTTTTGTCTAAGACAGCTTACTTTGTGTTGTAAAATCACAAGGCTCTGAGTTTCCCCACACTAACCCTGCTATTGGTATCTATTCAAATTATTTAGTTTGGCCCTTGTTTTTGTTATTCCAGAAGTTGAGTAGCCTGTACAAAACCCAGAGAAGATAAATGAGTATCTTGGTGCAGCTGAGGAAGTGAGATTGGGGGGAGGAGAGGTGTGAGCAGAGAACTTTGTCTTATCAGATGCACAAGCGGACTCTCACAAGACGACCTTTTGAATTTTTTTGTAGGCGCTGTGGTTTCCACTGCTAGAAGCCATGATGTCCCCACAAAGGTTATCTAATTCTACTGGGCTATGCCTTTATTCTGACTGTAAGTATGTTGGTCTCCTGTCCTGTGGCACAGATGTGTACTGCAACGTAACCTTTATATGCTGTTTCTTTTAGCTTATTAACTGAAGTAGATAAGAATGTGGTTATGTTTTCCACAGAATTAGTTCACAGCACTTGGATGTACCCTGAACCTTGTAATACAGCCTGGTTATTGCTGCGTCTTCCTTTTCCCTATAGCAAAGTCATGAAATTGAGCTTAGAACAAAAGGGTGTGACATTTAAAGCATTTTTCTGTGTTAAAACTTCAGCCCCCTCCCACTTTTTGTGCTTTCAAAAAATTAGTATTAGAAAATTCATAGAAAAATGCCTGTGAATTTTTGTGTGTTTTGTAAGATCCTGTAAAAGTTCATCACAGTAGAAAACACAGTAGAAAACTTCATCTGTTCACAAGCCACCTGAACCACAGAATGGTTCTTACGTCTGTTCTTGGTGGTGTCCAGAGTTATTGACAAGAATTCACTCTCCTTGGCCATTGACTGATGTATTTGTTCCTCCAACCCAGTTTTGAAGAACCTGACGATGCAAGTGCTGAACAACATGGCATCTTTCATTGCCCTACCATCGATCTTGCAGAGAATTCTACAGGTGAGCTGTTGAGAGAGGAGATACTGTCGTTAATCAGCTTGCCTTAACTAAACAGTTTTATAGTTAAACTGCGCATGCTATGATACTGTTCATGTGGTATATATACTTTTTAAAAATATACACATTCATGATGTCACATATAATGAGGGGAGAGTGAAAAGTTGATTTAATAAAAGGGGGCTTCTTGCTAAAGGGGAAATGTTAATGCATACTTTTAATATCTCTATTTTAGAAGATATTAGAAGAATTTAATATGAACAGGAATTTATAGGAACACTCTATACACTATAGGACGTTCCAGGTTCTTTTACTCTGCATGGCGGGGGGTGTCTTGTTTTCTTTTAAAAGCCAAATCGGCCTAACAAGCTGTCAATGAGGAATGGCTCATGGAGGGAAGCTGCTTAACAATAGCCCTAATTTTTCAGCTAAAAAACATCACCAGCTGCCTTTTTATCCACGGGGAAAGATACAGGGATTCTGTATCTTTGCCCTCAAAACAGCATGGAAAAGGTGGGAAAAGTGATTTAAGCAGCCTTTCTTCCAGCAAGCTTCACAGTTGCCCAAATGAGCTTCATAGCTTTTAGGGGAAACCCCCACAAAGCCCCCTGTATTGTGTAAGGTGAGCTTCTCATTTAAACTAAATCTAAACATATTGTCCTGAAGGGTTGCCTTTTAGGGTTATATTTACTTTCTTTTTGCTTTCCTCAATTGCTCTCCCAGAAATAATTTTTTTAATTTCCTATACCAGGGGTCATTTCGTAGAAAAAGAGGTGCAGGGGGCTCATTAGCATAACTCATTAGCATAACTCATTTGCATATGCCACACACCCTGACATCACCGGAAGTGTGTCAGAAGGCAACGCACACCGCTCAGGCTCCACTGGACTGTTTTGGATTGCTAGCTATTGGGGGGGGGGGACGTGCAGATCTGTCCTCACAGAGGAGGAAGAGCTTGTACCTGAATAAAACTTGGTCTTAAACGTACCACTGGACTGTTTTGGGCTTGGGGGGCCCCTCTGCAATTTACCTGGCTGCTTCTTGCTCTGACTGAGGGCTGCTGGGAGCAGGGGGGTGGGGCTTATTGCATGTGCCCACCCCCTGGGCTCTTTACTGCCGGAGCTCCGCTCCTGTGCTCTCCTGCAGGAAATGACCCCTGTCCTATACAAAGCTCTTTCTGTTCTTGGAATTGTATGTTTTGGGGTTTTATAATTGTTTTCTTAATAAATGCTGAATTTGCAAAATTGTATACATGCCACTGTGCACATAGCCAAATCAGTTTGATTCAGGTGGCTGCGGAAACACTGAGAAGAAGGAAGAGTCTTGAGATGAGATCGCTTTGCTAGCTTCTTCTGATATGTGGATTTAGCAAAGCTTCTGTGTGATGAATTGCACCATTCCCAGCAATTCACAGCGGACATGGGGAGTTTGCAGTGCCCCTCCAAACATTAACACTATAGTGAAACAGTGCACAAGGAGACATGTGAAAATGCCCAGGAAGAGGGGCCACATGAGAGTGTAGTCTAGATCAGTCATTTATTTATTTATTTAAAACATTTATGTGCTGCATTTCCACCCAAATAGGTTCCCCGAGGCGGTAAACATAAAAAAAAATTTGAAACATTAAAGTGGCATTTAAAGTATTTATACGAATCAATAAAAAGCATGTGAATACAGAAACACAACACAACTGAATTGGGGAGATGGGCCAGTAAGAGTTATTGGAGGAACGCCAAACAAAACAAAACAAAAACAAATACTTTTAACAGCATTAGGAAATGCTTATGTAAATGTCACTGATCTTTGACTTTTATCTTGGAATGCCTGTTTCAGAATTAAACTAAAACAGAAATAAACCAAAGTAATACCAATACCAACTATTAAACAGTCAGTCTTTAAAGGCAGTTATGGTAAATAAGCCACAAACCAATTCTTCCTGTTTGGAGCTTTATACAGTTTTAACAGACGACTCTTAGGAAACGCTTTGCTACGGTCTCTAGGTTATGCCTGCCTCAGAGCTAGGGGGAAAGAAGCCTTGACTCCTGGCTTTATTAAAACTAACAATGTAACTGGGTGGGGGGAAATGCCACCTACATTGTGACAGCTTCATGGAAATGTTTACAGCAGAGGTCCCCAACATAGTGCCCATGGGCACCACGGTGCCTGCTGCAACTTTTCCTGGCACCCACCAACTGTTTTTAGAAAGTGGGTGGAATTTCTTGCCCAGCAGGGTTTTTGATTGGTCACTGGAAATGTGAATGGCTGTACAGATTAAAATAACATTGTTTCAGTTGCAGCTGCCACCACAGTGATAGTTTTACTCTCTTGTAACTCCTCTTTCCCAGTGTATTTTTAGACTACCTTCCTTCTCCCCTGCACTTGGGCTTCCTCTTTGTGTATGGTTCCACATGTGTGGTAGCCATTTTGTAGCTGCACCAACCACCCTATGTGAGAATGCCAAAGATGCCCACAGGCTCAAAAAAGTTGGGGACCCCTGTTTTACAATATCCCCTGGAATTACAGCTCATTTCCGGACTACAGAGATCAGTTCCCCTGGAGAAAATGGCTGCTTTGGAGGGTGGACTCTATGGCATTGTACCCCCACTGAGGCCCCTCCCTTCCCCAGGCTGCATCCCCAAATCTCCAGGAGTTTCCCAACTTAGTTCTGACAACTTTACACCCCATCACTGGCTGCAGAGTGATAAAATTGCTTACCAGTTTGGTGTAGTGGTTAGGAATGCGGACTCTAATCTGGGAGAACCAGGTTTGATTCCCATGCCCACACATGCAGCTGCTGGTGTGACCTTGGGTCAGTTACAAGTTCTTTCAGAGCTGTTCTCTCATGAGCAGTTCTCAAAAGAGCTCTCTCAAGCCCCACCTACCTCACAGGGTGTCTGTTGGGGGGAGGGGAAGGGGAAGGAGATTGTAAAGTGCTCTGAGACGCATAAAAACATAAGAGAAGCCATGTTGGATCAGGCCAATGGCCCATCCAGTCCAACACTCTGTATCACACAGTGGCCAAAACCCAGGAGCCATCAGGGGGTCCACCAGCGGGGCCAGAACTTCAGAAGCCCTCCCACTGTTGCCCCCCAAGCATCAAGAATACAGAGCATCACATACAGAGAATAGACTAGAGTAGGAACATAAGAACATAAGAGAAGTCATGTTGGATCCAGCTAATGGCCCATCCTGCCCAACACTGTGTCACACAGTGGCCAAAAACCAGGTGCCTTCAGTTTTTGAAAGGTGAGGTATAAATCCAATCTCCTCCTCCTCCTCTCCTGTCAGCTGTAATATGCAGAGTATGTAGCACTTTCTCTACGACAGGTTTAGAAGCAAAGTCCAATGAATCTAACAAGCTTATTGTCAGTTTGAATTGTTCTGTGTATGGGATGGTGAAGGAGGTGGGGTATAAATGAACCCAGGATAATCAACTATAGGAAAATGTTCTCACTGAGTTATTGGTTCAGAAGAATCACTGGGTCATTTCCTATAATGGGAAACCCTGTGCTACAATTCCCTTTGTAAAATATTTCCTTCCTTTTCTTGTGTCTGTTTAAATGAAGCTTCTGTGGCAGTGTGTGTGTCACATCTCATATGTACAATTACTTGGTTGGGGCTTGCTTTCTGTTGGTGCTGTCAGATGCTGATAGAAATAATTATTACTGGCACTTGAATAATACATCAGATACGTTCAGCAAACATTGTATTACCCAGCATGCCATCTACACTGAATGTAATTGTGGGTAAGGAAACAGGTGGATTATCCCTTTGTGTTAGCTAATCTGCAACAGACTGATCTGTAATTGGGTCTGAAGTTGTGTTTAAAACAAGGGGAGAGCCTCCTTGCTTTAGTCAAAAGGCAGTTTTGTCCATAAACGATAGAAGTACCGAATTGCTGTTTTGCCATAGATACACCTGGGCCATGGTTTCTCATTAGTTCTTACTTCTATAATTGAAACTTTATTAAATGTGATTAGCATTAGGCTTTGATTTAAATCTGTCTCATGAGAGGATTTTATAACATTAATTGAAACCATGTGTTGGAATTTTGTCACCTTCCATTTAAAGTTCTTCTGTTCTTAGCCAAAAAGGGCTTCAAGGATGTAACTTATTTGTTGTATAGAGCAAAAAGCAGTATTGATATCTTTAGCTGCAAGGATTCAGTCCCTAAGTTTAAGAGCCAATTCACTATTTAACACCTGATGTATTGAAGATTGGAGTATGGGGGACCATTTTAATCAAATATCAGTGGTAATTTCAATTTGAGGTATTGGAAGTATACCAGTTGTCCCATCATTCAAAATGTTTTTGGAAATGCAAATATGAAGCATAAGTGGCTGATGGTCACTTTCCGGGAGACACCCCACTAGAAACAATGAGACATCACTCAAAAAAGCTGGTGATACTAATAAATACTCGATCACACTGGCACCCCTCTGACTAAAATAAGTAAACTCACCGTATTTTTCTCCTTCTATATTCCTGTTACCGTTGTTTGGGTATACTCTGTGCCTTTTAAAATGATCATGCCACAAATGCATGGCCATCTTAGATTAATAAGAGAGATGTCTAGAGTGGTCTGTACATGCAAAACTTTGTACATGGACCCATCAAGCAGCTGTCTCCCTGCTCCTTTCTACCCCCTTCCATTTATCTTCTAACTCTTAATGTGCACACACTACTGAAGTGCTTCAGGAAAGAAGAGCTGTCTCCTTGACAGATAAAAATAGCTTGCTGTATGTCATGGATCACGTACATGCTGTGCTAAGGGCCCAGACATCCCAGTTGCCCTCCATAATTTATATGGTGCCTCAGCATGATGTACTTTCTATGCTACTGCTTCTAAATTATACATGCTAAAATAAAATGTACTTACTGAAAACAGATTGTGACCTAAAAAGACACCACTACCTTTGCATAGATGTAGTATTGGCATGGCTCTCTGTTTTCTTAAAGTTTGAGCTCTTGAATAGGTTAAAAAAAGCCCCTGACCATTAGTTTATATGTATATTTGTAAAATAGGAAGGAAATTGTAACAGACACTGTGTAAATACCATCCTGTGGGTGACTTTAGCCCTCCTGAGATTTTGTAGTATCATTCATTCATATTACTTGCAAGTAGGCTAGTTTCTGTTGCTGCTCTGTCAGTTTATTAACACATTTGTATACCACCATGCAGATTGCAGCGCCTTCTGTATCTGGTTTTGCAATGTAGCACTAAACCATAAGTGGTAAAGGAAGCTGCCACAAGAAGAAGGTGCCATTTGGAGAGAGGGTTTTGTGCAACAACTGCTGTTTTGAGTTATGCAGCTGTGCATAGTCTCCAATCTGCTATTTTTTGACTGGCAGGTATTGACACAGTCTGTGCGGCTTGCAGGTATTAGCACCGAATCAGCAGATCTGACATTTGGAAAAACCATTGTTCTGTAAAGCAATGTGCCATCTACTTACTTTAATTCTGTTAATTACCATATGTCACTGTAATGGTTTCAGGTAGTAGCACAGGCTTCTTTAGCACATTAAGTAGTTAAGACCACTGAGATGTATTCTGGTTTAGATAACTCAACTTATGCTGTTGTCACAATATAATTAGCTCTGACCTGGATAGTCCAGGCTAGCCCAATCTTGTCAGATCTCAGAAGCTAAGCGGGGTTGTTCCTGGTTAGTACTTGGATGGGAGACCATCAGGGAAGCGTAGGTAGAAGCAGTGGCAAACCACCACTAAACATCGCTTGCATTAAAACCCTATGGGGTTGCCATAACTCGACTGCAGCTTGATGGCACTTTCCGCCATCATGATATAATTTCCTTCCTAAAACGTGTATCATAGAGGGTATCTGTCTCCTTCCCCCAAAGATTCATAGAAAGCAAATTTGAAACATCCTCCAGTGATCTGAATAACTGGCTGTTCAGTCTTACTGTTGAAATAAATATTTTAAATTTATAACTAGGCAGATTTTATGTTCTTTTACTTTCACTTAAAAAGTGCTTCATATGAGCTAATTAAGTAATAAAGGTGAGTCTTGATATCTCATTTCTAAATCGTTGGAATGTATTTCAGTGCTGTGTTAGGCTGTATGTTTTTTCTGCTGCCACAAGAGCTGCACACTTTAAAATCATAAGCAGAACTTGTCAAAACTATAAGAAATCTTTCTTACAATTTTATAATTATCTAAGGGAAGTCCAGCTGACCTTTTCTCATGAGGCAGTAGGGTATCATATCTTAATTAAATCTCACACATGGGTGAACCAAAAATCATTTAGAAAAGAATTCAAATA